AAGGGACAGCATCTAGAAAAATATAGTCCTGACTCCATCCAATTCTTAAACCAAAAACACAAAAAAGTTAATTTACACTGACATACACTGCATATAATTAAGGCTATGATTTAGTCATGGAATCTGTGACTTCCAGCGACCTCCGTGACTTCAGCCTGTAGCAGTTGGGAGCTGTGGGGTACCTTAGCCCACGCGGGTGGCAGGGGAAACCCCTGCAGCCCCTGGCCGCTGCCCAGCTGCAGGTGGTGTGGGGACCTGCTGATCCCCATTTTGTCACAAATATTTTTAGTAAAAGTCAGAACAGGTCACGGCTTCTGGGAATTTTTCTTCATTGCTCACGACCTGTCCATGACTTTTACTAAAAATACCCATAACAAAATCTTAGCCTTATATATAATTTATAAATGCTAGAATCATGTATAATCTTGTCCTCTTAGATTCTAATCTCAGCTACTGTGCTTAACTCCACTGAAATGCAATCAGCAGCCAAGAACAGAATTTGAAGAGAGAGAGAGAGAGAGAGAGAGAGAGAGATGCTTCCTCACCTACTGCTTTTGACCCTGTGACCTTCACTCCCATCCCTGTTTTTTCATTTGTTGTCCCCTGGAATTTCATGATGCCTGTGCCCAGTGGCTCCTCCCCTTAGGCTAGGGCAGGGGCCTTTAGATGTGGGCAGGCTTGTGCCCACCCACTCCCAGAGCCTCAATAGATACAGAAATCTACCTCTAGATTAGGTAGAAGGCATGTTGGTAGGACTGCATGGAAAAGACTGCACTGCCTCTGGCCACGTGGTAGTATTTAAATAAAAGACAGTCTTCCCAGGGCTCTCAATTTGGAACTTTTCACTAGTACTTTATTCCCTTAAAAACTAATCATAGGGTGAAATCTTGGCCCACACAACGTGAACAGGAGTTTTGTCATTGCCAGCAAAATCTGAGAGAAAGTATTTTACATTTATGTAACCATACGTCATCCAGAAACAGACATCCAGGCCCTTAATTCAGTGGGTCACCATTAAATGTTAATCAACACATTTAAATAGTATTACTTGATTAACATTGGAGGGGTGCAACTGTGCAGTGAAGAGTTGCCTTTGTTTTTCCAGATTGTTTTAAGAAAAGATCAGGGATAAATACCACCTGAGCACCACAACACAATGTTATAATTGACATTATCCAAAACCAGTTAGCAGAGGATGAATGCATCTTCTTGTACCTTTCTTGAGTAAAGGATTTCAGAAACAAGAGGCAACAGGATTTTTTCATAAGTGATCTGATGGGTTGGAAAACAGGCTAAAAATTAATTTTTTTTGTGGTTTTATTTAGAAGTCAAGAGCTAAATCAGTCTGATTTAAATTCAGGGATAAAGGTCCCAATGATTTTGATGGGATTAGGATAGTATAATATAAAAAAATTATTCTAATTAGGTACACCATTCTCTTCTCACTTGAACCAGTGAAAATCAGGAGTAATTCCACTGAAGTCAATTGAGTTATACTTGTGTAATTACAAAATTGAGTAATGTCTGAACTTCCAAAAGTACTGAACATCTGAAGCGCTCATTGACCCAGATGAGATTTGTAGGTTCTCTGCACCTTTGAAAATTGGGCCATAAACCTTAAACACACAGACACCCTTGGGATGGAAATGTGAGGCCAACAGAAGAGTGGGGTATGGCTGTGATATTACATCATGTCAGCACAGCTGTTGTTTGTTATACTTAATTAGACAAGTGTCTTATTGGTATTAAAGTACCAATCTCATTTCTGGAGAAAGTAAACAGAAGTATTTCTTGTTAATCCTTGAGAAATGAGACATTGGCACTGCCACCTGACATCAGAGTTTGGAATAACCAGTTACTAAGCACAAGACAGACTCATACTTCCTTAGAATGCAATGTTTCAAACTCTGGGGGTGGGGAGATGGAGAGAGAGAGAGAGAAAGAGAAGAGTGATGTTGTAGAGTGTGGAGCTGAATGACACCCAGACAGCTGGGGGTATTCAGCTGCAAGGTTTTGATTTTAACCATGAGAGAGAGAGACGGACAAGCTGTGAATTTCAAATTTAGCACACAGGTCAAAGTCCAACCTCTGCTTCTCTCTAATAAATACATATAAATGTGTGACTGTATTTTTGTAAAAGTTGTCAAGGACACCCAGAGTATTGGGTGGGCACTTTTTTGGTTACACTTCCTATAAGTCTAAAATAGACACACTGTGTTGTTTCCCAAATGACCTTGCAGAGAGTCTACTAGCTCTGCTTGTAATTCAGCACCTGGCACATCCACTTTGATCCCAGTAACTATAGAGAGGACCTTGGCATATTCACTACAAGTTAATCTAGTGATCTTACACTTTGTTTATCTACTATATTTGATTTGTTATCTTTTTGCCCTTGTTAGAAAATTAGGCCAAAAGTGATTTAATAAGAATTAGGGCAAAGGTAATATAGTTAAACCTATCTGGGTATGCATCAACTGATTTCATCAAAGGGAACCTCTGACTTCCTCTAAAAAGTCAAAAGGGTCCCAACTACCTTGTTGGCACAAGTCCTCAGATCATCAAGCCAAAGATCAGCCCTAATATAACCATGTTTAACTCCACTGAGGCTAGCATAGTTATGCCTGCCTCAATTCCCTCATCTTAAGGGGTTCTTTGAGCTGAGGTCAGAGTCCTCTACGGAATCCAGGATCACCCCTCCGGCACATGGCTTCTTCTTGAAATCATGGAGTCTCTTTTTCTCTCTTCCCCTTTTGAAACCAGTTTCTTTCTTCCTGGTCAGCAGTTAAATAGGACTCTTTTGCTACGAAAGCATGCCCCTCTATTCCACTCCCCTGCACACGAGTGTCTTGTGTCTCTAAGTCCCTTCCCAGCAGCTCTCACCAAGTCTCTAAAGGTAATTCTACAATGGGGGGGGGGGGGGAGCCACACACATTGTGGCAGAGAGTCTCAGGGTATGTCTACACAGAGAAGAAAAAACCCACAGCTAACCCCATGCTAGCCAACTTGGGCTCAGGCTGCAGGGGTGTTTCATTGCTTCCAGCCTTGAGCTGGAGCTCAGGCTCTAGGACCCCACAAGATGGGAGGGTCCCACAGCTCAGGCTCCAGCCCAAGCCCAGATGTCTACATAGCAATGAAACAACCTAATGGCCCACGCCCCATAAACCCAAATTGGCTGGCACAGGCCAACTGCAGGTTTTTCTAAACTATACAGACATTACCCTCAAAGCCCAGATGTAAAGAGCTCCACTCACCACAGATTAGCCTCCTTATGGCTAGGTCTGGGAATGCGCATTTGCCCAATATGGCACCCCATTGTTGGTTGCTCATAGTGCAGTTCTTCTGGGTCTTCAGAACTAGAAGTACTCCCTCTTTAACTCAGTCCCACAACCAGATCACTATACAGTCCCCTCCCCCCACCCCTTCCAGGTCATCAAAGTCCCACCAGACAAGCTCTACCTCTAGGGCTCACCCCACTTCCCAGTAGCTAATAGGGGAGCCCAAGCCCAAACCTACCTTTAACTCCAGGTTCTAGTCCAGGAACCTTATGACTAGGAATCCTGGTCTGCTCAGTGTCTGTTGCCCTGGACTCCTTCCTACCCTACCTCTCTATCTCTGGCTTTACCTCTAGAGCTTCTTCTACTCCCTACAACTACTTCACTCCTCTGAGCCTCTTGCCAGACTCCCTACCCACAGTAGGTCCTAGGGCTTACTATCCTCCATATTTCCTCCTTGTTTTTGGCTAGTTCCCTGTCCCTGCCACTTCTCCCTACTTGCACTTGCTAGCTTTATAATCCTAATCCATTTTCTCCTCTAGCTGGGCTTCATCTACAATTAAGCTTTATCAGGCCCTGGCTCTCAGGTGCAGTATATGAGATTAATAGACCCCTTCTGGCCCACATTAACCAGCTCAGGACTTGTGTGGGGTGAATATCCCATTGCCTAGGTCAGTAGTTCTCAAACTTTTGTACTGGTGACCCCTTTCACATAGCAAACCTCTGTGTGTGACCCCCCCCTTACAAATTAAAAACACTTGTTTATACGGTATATTTAACACCATTATAAATGCTGCATGCAAAACAGGGTTTAGGGTGGAGACTGACAGCTTGTGTCCCCCCCATAATAACCTCATGACCCCAAGCGGGGTCCCACCCCCCAGTTTGAGAACCCCTGGCCTAGGTCAACTGACTTAGGCTCTAACTACAAGGCTAAAAATAGCAGAATAGACGTTCCTGCTTAGGCTGGAACTCAGGCTCTGAGACCCACTCCCCTGACTAGTGTCCTCCCTTTTAGATTTTGTGTCTCCCCCCCCAGTATGGGGAGGCACCAGTTGTCTAACCATTAGGATACACTCGCTTCACATTTTCTGACTTGTCTCCACAACCAGGAGGGCTAGAAAGTTACATGTTTTAGTGAAAGCTGGGAGTTTTGTTTTTTAAAATCAAACTATCCCAAAACTTAGGACAAAATCAAGAGAGTTCATATTACTGCTTTTCCTCTGCTGTGCTGTAAACTGCTGCTCGCAGGTGGTGTGTCCAAAGGCAACCAGTCTTCACAATTTTCCACCATCAAAATAGTGAGCAACGGCTGTTATCTATGCAAAGGATTATGGCTTTCCAGGCAGGATCAAGCAAGAAGAGGTAATACGCTGGCAGGCAGCCTTTATCTCGGGCGTGTCTGTAGGCGGGAGCTCGCGCTCCTTCGCGCAGCCACAGCTCCGCTTATAGCAGCAGCCGCCTCCTGTGCCCTTGACACAGCAAGTCAAGAGGCGGGCAGAAGACTGGAGACGGAATAAGGGGGGGGTACATTGACCAATAGGAGACAAGCAGCCACCTGCCAACAGCCAATAGCGGCTGAGAAACTCGCTGCTTTGCTCTGCGCGGGCGATATCAGCTTCTTAGCATTTGGTTTGGAGCTTTTACGACGTCACGCTCCCTCCTCCCACCGCGCTACTTTACGCATCCGCTCTCCTCCTCCTCCGAGGCTGGGTAGGGGGCGGGGTGACAGGGGCCAATGAACGGCCAGAGCGCCATGGCGACGGAGGCGCTGCCGTAAAGCTATAGCCTAGGGGCGTCGCGCGGAGCCGGTTTGACCCCAGTGCCGGGGGCAGTTGTCATTGGAGTTGGGGACGCGGAGCGTGTGTGGTGATCGCCGCTGCGCTCCCTGCCTCCTTACCCGCCCGGCGCCCGACACCCCCCTGCCGCCATGGCGGGGGTGCTGGCCCGCAAGGCCGCGGACTATGTGCGGAGCAAGGACTTCAGGGACTATCTGATGAGGTGAGAGCGGCGGGGGCCGGCTGGGCGCGGCGCTGCCCTGCAACTGTCCGCCCTGCCGCGCGCGGGGGCTGCTGTGGGCCGTTTAACGGGCCTTTCGGCTGGGTCCCTGCGGGCTCGCCGCGGCCTGTCACGCTCTGACTGTGGCGCTCACGAGCGGCTCCTGCCACAGCCCCGCAGTGCGAGGGGGCTGCTCGGCCGCGCGGTGACTGACCCAGACCTGCCCAGCTATACGCCCTGCTGGCCTCCGGGGCAGGCCCAGCTGTGTCCGTGGACGAATGCTGCCTTTAACGTCGCGAGTTTGGGTCAAGGCGGTGGTGTTCCCACAGCCACCGAGAAACCCCTTTCCTCCGCGTAACGTGCGCCTGCGTAGCCAGGCTGGTGCGGCTCCCATCCCGTTGGCATGTGTCGCTGATTCGCTGCGTCCCATGGCCAATCGCAGTGGGGAACTGGCCTCATTTACAGCAAAGCGCTCTGTGTTGTTAAAGCAGCAACATCAATGCCTGCTCCGTTTTCTCGTGTATAAATCTATCGTAATTTGAGTCATGCGACACTCAAAGGAGCACAAAGTATACTATAAAAACAGGCTACAGAAACCTTGCAACGTTTTGCTTACCCTTTTTTAATGGATGGGCAATTTAATTATTGCTGTCATCGTGGTTAAGATGGGGGTGTAGCAGTAGCATTTGTGTTAGGGCAGATAAACTGTCACGTCAGTTTTACAAGGCAAAAATGGTATATGCTCGTACTTTATGATGCAGGCTCTAATTATATAAGCATAAAGAGGCCAAATGAAAGTTTTACTGGCAACCTTAATCAAGGCAATTCTTGAATTTTGAGTGATTGACTTTGCAAACTTAATGTTTTTATAATGTTTTTGTATATAATTTCTTATCTTTAAAAAAAAAAAAACACCTCCAACAGCTGGAGCCATATTCATCCCCAACTTGGGTCATCAACTGGGTTTGGACCTTTAGAGCCACATTACATACATAGGTGTTGCAACTAGAGGTACAGGGGGTGCTGCAGCACCCCAAACCCAAAGTGGTTTCAATTATATACAGGATTACAGTTCGGTTCAGTGGCCTACATCACCCCTGCTATAAAAATTGTTCCATCGCCTGAGGTTACATACTTCTACCACTTGAGCTGATAGAGTAACTATTAGATGATAAACAGCCTACTACACCTATGTGGACCAACCACTAGAAGTTGTGAATTACACACTTTGCCAGGGGATTTCTCAGCTATTTGCTAACAGCAGAGGAATGTAGAGTCTTGGGTGTCATAGATTCAATTTCAGGTTTTGGAGGGGAATGTTACAATTAGACTCTTGTGTGCCCCACCTTTTCTTCTTGTAGCCACTCAGTACTCAAATAGAGTGGCTTCCTTCTTCTCTTCATTGCCTGTCACCAGCTGAATTTACAGGAAAGAGTCTCCTTGAACTCAGTTCCTGTGTTTAGTGCCACAGTGGCTTACAGCAGCTGTGAGGAGCAATTTCTGTGAGGTCCTGCTCAGCCCCTGCAGTTCTGGGGTGGAGTGTGGCTAGTAAAAATGGAGTCCTCGTAGCCTTTAACTCCCAGAATCTAACAAGTCTCTACTGAGCATATGTGGGGTTTGTGGGTTTTTGTTTTTTTTTTTCCCCCCAGAGGCTCATAACTTGGCCAAATTTGAGTGAATTTTCATGGGGACAGCATAGGGCATAGATCCCTGACATCACGGCAACCCTGCCACTTCCTTCCAAATTTCAGATTCTTGTGACAAAGCATGGAGGTGCTAGAGCTTATCAACAAAATGGTTGTAAGAATTTTTTTAACACTGGCAAAACAGTGAAATATTTTTCCTATTAATCTTATTTTCAGAAATACTGAATTATTTTGACTTAAAATAATTTTTTTTAAAAATCTTTTGTCCGCTTGAGGCACACAAAGACCAGAGGAAATTTCAGCCCAAATGATTTAAGTTTGGCAAAGTTATAAGTAAGTGAAAACAGAGTCGTATAATGGTAAGTGTCAGGCAATTTTAACTCAGGAACCAGCTCTGCTTATAATATTTTCTCAATTCTAATGTTGCTTGGTGTCAAGCAAGCACAAAAGACCACATAATTGTTGCTCAAAGGAACTTTCTGTCTAGTATAGACACAAGCAAGCATAATATACAGGAGATGGTGCAAGCCGTGGTGGAGAAATCTTGTAGTAATCAACATTTAGGCTTTGTGGGAGAAAAGGAGATTTGGCGCCTGCTAAAGCAAGTGCAAACAGAAAGGGTAGATGAAAAGTGTGAAGACATGAAGAATTCCAAGACAACAATAAGGAGACTATTTGAGTCAAAGCAAAATGAGGGAGAGTAGGAAAAAATGGGAGCAGACATGTAGGCATGGCTAGATATAACTCAAGGACTCCAAAGGTTTTCAGTACAATATATTTCATCTAACACTATCCTGTGAGATTGGAAGTGTCCAGTTGTGCTAGTTATAACAGAATTGAACTTGGAGCTGGAGCATGTATCTATCTAATGTAAATGTCTGTCATGTACATATCTAATAAAACACTGATCTGATTTCTTTTTTAATGGACAAAAGAGACAGATATTCATTGTGATCAGTCATCCCACCTTAAGAACATTACCCGTGCCACATTCCAAGATGTAGGAACATTTATTTTTCTTGCAAAAAAGATGGCTGGGGGTTGTTGGTTTTTTCTCCAGTTATTTTAAAGGCTTACCGGTCTGGAAGGAACTTGCTAAACAGGATACCATATTCTTCCAAATCTTAATTTCTTTAGTGTTTCAAAGGGCTCTAGTTTCATGGAATGTGTTGATTTCTACATACAAATGATACTTATTCGATCCTATCTCTTACTGAATTAGTCTTGGTTAGATTTTTACAGTTTTAGTGCACTGGAAGTTTCTTTTTAAGTTGATTATTTTGTCCAGTGTGTATTTATAAGCACCACTTTGTATGAACACTGTTTCTTGTCTTACTGGGAGCCTTTAACAGTGATCTTGATTCCAAAGATTGAAGTTGAAGAATTGCGAAGACTCAAAGGATACCAGCCAAAAATCTCCATTTTAGCCATGACACAGGAAAAATACCCCCCCACACCTCTCCCCAAAAAATCATACCTTCAAATTGTGTTGTCTTCCTAGGCTCCTTTTCCAAATTGGCTTTCCTGGAGAAGGTTACCTGTCTATCTTCCTCTTACAGGGATAGCAACATATCATGGGGCATTTAGATGGATTATGACTGAGACAACAACTCTGCATGTCATAAAAGTGCATCTGTAAATGCATTTTAAATCAGGCTCATTTAATGGGTAAAATGTTTAAATTCATAGTGGGTTTTTTTCCAATCCTATACCCACAATTCACTTTTGACAGACAAACTTAGTGCCTCATATGTCTCAAAGATAGATGTTGATTCTAAATACTGTAATATAACAAGCCATCCTATTAAGCTGTGTTCTAAGTATGTAATCAGTTGATTCAACAGATGCTATAACAACTCTTAAGTTCTGGTTTCTCTGAAATGATTATTAAATGGGGATCTAGATGCCTGTATGTCCAATTATATTTGCACAATTGACCATCAGTTTTTTACCTACATTTTTTTTTCCAATGCATCCATAATAGGAATGTAAGCCACAGATAGATCTTTTGCGGTACCTGTTGATTAGTAATATTCTTAGATTTGAAGACAGTGGATTATCATTTGAATGCTTGGTGACTGAAAATAGCTGGTTCGGAGCTTAAAGGTGTGATTAGTATGTATCTGAGGGTATGTCTACACTGGCAAGTTTCTGCACCACATGTTATACCATTTTTATTAAAACACTGGAATTAAACCACTGTTGCGTGTCCACACTGCTCCTTGTGATGGTGGAGCACATCCACATTAGCAGCTTTTGCAACGGCAAAGACAACAGTGCATTGTGGTAGCTATCCCACTGTACAATTGGCCACAGGGTGCTTTGGGAAGCATTTGCAATGCCTAATGGGGCAGATACAGGGTCCTATGATTCAAGTTTCCCAATCCCATTGTTCCATGGGCATCCTACTACATTGCCACCTGCTTTTCAACTGGGGGGGAGCGTGTTACAGGGAGTGTGTGTGTATATTGATGGGGGGGGAAGAGACAGTGTGTTTTGGGGGACAGAGAGTGTATCAGCATGCTATATTGTAAGTTCAGACAGTGGCAGGAAGCAACCAGTCCTGAGGCAGGGGGTGGGGGAAACGCTGACATCAGTCTCTCTCTCTCTCTCACATCTCACACACACACACTCACACACAGGCACACACACCTTTGTGTTCAACAGGATGAGCATTCCACATTAATGGTTTGCTTTGTGTCCCAGAGTAGATTAGCACAGCACGCAAGGGGTGCTTTGGAAGGGGACGAGTGCATGTCTCCAGGGCAGAGGCGTTCAAAACAATTAGCAGAGCAGTCACTTGAGGTATTATGGGACAGCTCCGGAGGCCAATTACAGCACAGAAAGTAATCAAGTGTCTACACTGGCAATAGAGCACTGGAGCCTCTGCGCAAATACTCTTATGACTCTCGTTGCAGTGGAGGTTTTTTTGCAGCACTGCAACTGAGGAGTTTCTGCGCACAAAGTGGCTTGGCAGTGTGTACATGTCTGCAGTTTGAGCGCAAAAAGCTACTTTACTGCGCAGAAACTTGCCAGTGTAGACAAGCCCTGAACCACTGGCAGAAAGACTCAGTTGCCTAGCATTTCTTGCATCACTGAAATGAACATTGCAAAAAAAAGTTCTAATAAAATTGTTGCTTTTAATTTCTCCACCGCAGAGATGCCCTGCAGGTATTGTAAATACAAATGGATTTTTTTTCCGCACTAGTTAGGATTCTGAAGTAGCTGGGATCCATTGTACAGGAGTATGCTTTGAAAATCTTCTAAAAAGTTTTGGAGTCTGTATCTCTTGTAGCTAAACATTGCAGTAGCAGTCCCATGATCTAATATAATTAGGGGTTGTTTTGAAGCAGATTT